AATTTGGAGCATTCTTCTTTCGCCATGAAATTTAACATGTTTATATTCAGACTAGCTGATGCGGCGGAGACTCTCTTGAAGTCAGATTTCGAATTTCTATACAACACCTAAACTTATTTTATCTGGCTGGTAACTGAAAAAATCGACCAATGAGTTTAGACATGTGGATGTGAGATAATTTTCCAAGAGAGATAAAAAAAGCGGTATTAGTTTAATTTCTGACTGAAGAAGATGCGAAGGTTATTTTCGGCTGGCGATCAGTTTTCGTAGCCATTCGAGAGTTCTAGAATAGTAATTAGAATTAGAACCTGTTGGACATAGGATCTATATACTGCCTTTTTAAGTTATCTGCTATATTTTGAATGTAATACATGTACAAATTGGTTTCAGAATCATCTTAATACGGAAGCATCGGGGTAAAGTTAGTTTAATGACAAAAGCTGACCGCCAGAACATATCACATACACCCTATCTTCACACAGCGAGCTCAAAGCCCATTCTTCATTGTAAAATGACTACCACAATGGAAAATCCTTGACGATGACATAACGCATGATTCATGACTTTGTTAACAGTCTAAACAAATGTACGTATAAGTTTTTATGACTTCCGTTCGGCGCGCAAATGTTTTTGAGAAACATATCTTATAAAAATCATACCTTAACTGAACCTAACTACAGTTGATCATTGGCGATTGCGAAATTCATTTGTGAATTACAGAGTTGATTATGATTGTTTAAATTACTATCTACCATGAGTAACATCGTTTTCTAACAGTGGTTAGACCATTGTTCAAGTTATTGTATATATTATTGAAGGTTATTTTCGGCTGGCAATCATCAGGTTTCGTAGCCATTCGTGCGTTCTATAAAGGTAATTGGAACTCCTTGCACGTCTGCTCGCATTTGTACTAAAAATGGTTTACGAATCTACGGCTCAAGATAGAAGAAACAGGTGCCGAAATTGATTTAGAAGTATGGCGATTTAAAAAGACGTTTAGTTTTGCTAAATTCCAATGCGGTCTCGCATTAAAACTCGTTGACGATGATCGCGCATGAGTACTCCATGGAACGACGTGGGCATTCTGGCAGGCTGGACTGATGGAACCCTTTCTGTCTCAGCTCATTTGGTTTGGTTTCTTACGTATTTCACGCTACTTGTAAATAAAACCAAAAATTACAGCTATCAGAGTGATATGCAAACCAAAACATTTACTGCTGTGCAGATATTTGAATGGTTCGCGAAAACAATCGAGGAAAGTGTAGCCAAGTGGAAACACAGCCAGCCCGATAATTCTTTTGTATCAATGCATGCAGTGACGGAAAGTCTGCATTTAAATTCTCGCTTCAAGCTCCAAGTTGTTCATTTTACACAGGACGCGTAAGGCATTTGATAAAAGTTGAAGGTAAGCCAAGCAATGAAATGTTCTATGGTGTCCTTTTAATAATTCCGCAGTATCAACTGGTGCAATGAGATCGAAGTACGGGTATTTTTGTCTTGTCGTCTTGTCGTTGCTCCGGCTAAGCGCACATACGGAATTCATTGGTTGGGTCATTGTCCTTACTTCTTCGTTGCTGCAAAAGTTTCTACCTTTATTTAAAAGAACAACGAAAGCGGAATACACAACTGCCTTTCTGTTAATTATTTCCCGTTTAAAATAAGTCTCTTCGATCGATGAAAGGTTTTTGGACGCTATTAGAGAGGGTTGGCCAGAATATCTCAACGCCAAACACTTTGGAGAAATGTCTTCTTTAATACGGAAGGATCGGGGTAAAGTTAGTTTAATGTCAAAAGCTGACCACCAGAACATATCACATAAACTCTCTCTTCACCAAGCGCACTCCCGTGATTCCAATCTTTCTTTGTATAAAATAATACCACAATAGAAAATCCTTGATGATGACATAATTATAACGCACGATTCTTTGTTAACAGTCTAAACAAACGTATGTATAAGTTATATGACTTCCGTTCGGCGCGCAAATGTTTTTGAGAAACATATCATATAAAAATCATACAATTCAACCAGATGTTGAAATTGATTTAAAAGAGGGTACCTAGCGATTTTAAAAGACGTTTAATTTGCCTCTTGCATGTGAAATTCCAATGCGGAATCATCAAAACTCTTTGATGATTATCTGCACTCCAGGAACATTCAGAGCATTCTGGCAGGCTTGACCGATATAACCACTTCCACCTCAGCCTGTTTGGTTTGGTTTCGTACGCGTTGAGGCTACCAGAGAATAAGACCAAGAATAACAGCTATGGAGTGATATGCAAACCAAAACAAGTATTTGAAAGGTTCGCGAAAACAATCGAGGAAAGTGTAGCCAAGTGGAAACACAGCTGTCAGCCCGATAATTCTTTTGTATCAATGCAGTGACGGAAAGTCTGCATTTAAATTCTCTCTTCAAGAGCTTTCAAGCTCTAATTTGTTTATTTTACAAAGGACGCGTAAGGCATTTGGTAAAACTTGAAGAAGGTAAGCCAAGCAATACAATGTGATATTTTATTGTGACTTATCATCTGGTGCCGGAGATCGAAGTACGGTTAATATTGTTGGCTTCTCGTTGTTCTCCTGAGTGCTCCTGAGTGCACATCTACTAATAATTCCGCAGTATCGTCTGGTGCAACGATATCGAAGTACGAGTAGTTTTGTCTTGTAGCTGTTCTGTTCTCCTGAGTGCACATACGAAATTCGTGGGTTGGGTCATTGTCCCTTCTTCTTCGGTGCTGCAAAGGTTTCTACCTTTATTTAAAAGAACAACGAAAGATCAGAGGAATACACAACTGCCTTTCTGTTAATTATTTTTTATCTTTAAAGTAAGTCTCTTCGAATGATGAAAGGTTTTTGGACGCTATTAGAGAGGGTTGGCCAGAATATCTCAACGCCAAACATTTTGGAGAAATGTCTTCTTTCGCCATGAAATTTAATATGGTCTAATATGTTAGACTACTGAGCTGATGCGGGTTTTTATACAGCACTTAAACTTCCTTTACCTGGTTGGTAAAAAAAGCCGACCAATGAGTTTAGCAAATGTCAGATATTATTCCAAAATAGATAAGTAAAGGGATTAGTTTAATTTCTGACTGAATAATTGTTGTGCTACCACGGCTGTAAAACAACAACTGAGTTTTCGAGCGAAACTCTTCGTCAGGTAAATCATAGGATTGTGTGTTGGATTGAATAAGTGTTGGCGATGAGCAAAGGCTTACTGCAAGGAAGATTAGTTTGCAAAAGAGATCAGATAACGTGCTGCTGAGAAATATTGTAATTTGTATTTTGAGTTTTAAAAACAACCCAAACGTGCAACCAAGCGGGACCAAGAGAGAGCACACTGAATTCAATTAAAACCAGACGAGAATTCTTACGTATTCGCGGACTGAACCTTATCCTATTTATAAATATCTTAAATTCTGGCATTCACTCCCCCTCCCCCCTCCAAAAAGGGGGGTGGTGGTGTTTGGCTGTTGATGGAAACCATCCCTGAAAGCATTGATTTGTGCCTTTACTAAGGCAGCTTGCTCAAAGGAAGAGATGGTTACCAGTTGATGGTGGAAAGTGCTCGCGCCGATTTGAAAATTAAAAATATGAAAATTAAAAAAACAACAACATTAAAACAATAATGATATCTAATTAATGCTCAAACTTTTAAGTGTCAATTTGTTGCTCTCGTGACTTCACGCTTTAACAGAGAGCTTTTTGGTTTTAATTATATTTGGTGATTCTTCCATTTAATGTTCATACTTTTAACATTCCTATATTATAACGGACTTTCTAGAATTAATGTTGGTGATCGCAACGAATTGAGGCCAAGATGGTGCATTCAGGATGGCGAAGTTTGAAATTGGTAACCTACGTCATAATTGAGGCCACCGCTAAGATAAACTGAATTGAGGGAGTAGTAAATAGCTAGGATTCAACTTTTGATCGCATTTCCATAAAAAAATAATGCATCTAAAAGGGGGTTGGATTATTGGTATTAGGGCTCCTATGGGTACATCCTACGACATATCTACTACTGAATTTATGCAACAACACTTCACAAATTGAAGGTGTTTTTTTTATTTTTTTTTTATTTTTATTTATTTTTTAAACCAAACATTTGCAATGCTCAGAATCCTTCGTTGCACCATTTTTTACCGGTTTTAGTTAGGGTCCACAATTCTCTAAATGTTTTGGTCGTTTTTGTATTTCAGCTATTACCTAGCCTGCTACTGATCATGGAGATATGCAACATGAAAATGCAGCTCTGGCTATTTCTCATCGTTTGCTATTGCTCAGGGTCGTTCTCTTCAGGTTAGTATTAAATATTTCAAGTGAAATCAAGTGATTATAATAAATAATTAATAAAATAGTTTCTGCCGATTAATTTAACTTTCTCTCAGCAACCCACGCCAGACCAAGCGGATGATCAACAATCGGGTATCAGAGTCACTCACAATCTCGTACCCAGATCCCACTCTGTCTGACACTGAAACGTGAGATCTGGTTAAGTACGAAATAACGCCTATTCTATATTGGATACTACTTAAAATATCGTCTTATTCTAATGTGTGCTGTGTTTGGCTCTCGCTACTGAAACATTTTCGCATATTCGCGGGAACACTAGAGATTTTCCGTGGCCTGTCGGAAGAACAACTAAACAGTGTCAACAGTCGCTTTTCTTTAAAACGATCTCCCGCAAAGCTTCCTTTTATGGCTTTTATAAAAAAGTTTTCCAAACCTCTGTCTCGAAGAATTCTCATAATAGCTCCGTCGAATTCCATGAATTCATCCATGTTTATTCGATCACAACAGACCAAAGGACAACTAAGAACAACGGGAAGGCCCGTATATCGGGCCTTGAAATCGAACTTTACCAGATCTCCCTTTCGCGTGGCAGAGGGTGATCTGGGTACGATATTAAGTCACTCATGCACGGATGTATTGTATGATGGCAATAAACAAATAACACATTTCGTTCGCTTTCGTTAAATGACTCTTAGTCTTAGTGGGAGACGCGGTGGTGGCCTAATGGTTAGCGCGTTGGACTCCGGATCGAGCGGTCCGGGTCAGTCGAGCCCTGGCCTTGTTCATTGAATTGTGTTCATGGGCAAGACACTTTACTTCCACAGTGCTTCTCTCCGCCCAGGAATATAAATGGGTACCGGCGACAAAATGTTGGGCGGTGTGATGGACTTGCATCCCATCCAGAGGGAGTAGCAATACTCCCAGTCGGCTTCATGCTTCGGAAACCAGAATAATATTCGACAGTGTGGGCCAGTTTGGCCAGAGTGTGGCTCTACCTATTTGCAATTGGTGTGATGGAGAACTGGTTGTTGGTTTCGAATTGTGTTTGGGTGGGGGATTGTTTATTTTCTTTTAAATATGTTGTCCTTCGCCATTGGTGATCGCAGCACCAATTGCCATTAAGTAAACGTTTGTTTGTAAAGTTGAGCAGTTGGTTGGAGTGGATAGGGAATGTGCAATGGGAGGGCTTGCAGGGAAATACGTTGCTAATATTAACTATTATTTTCCTACTTAGTTACCCATTGTAATATTTTATTTTTGATTGTGAATGGTTTAAGAAGTTGTTGATTTGTACCAAAATACGTCATTTGGATAAACAAACTATTGATTGGTTGCTATTTTAACTTCGTCTATATCCAGTTGTTCCCTGTGGCTACACCTCTTGGAGTTGTTGGTCTGACTGTGACGCTTCTTGTGGGGATAAAGTTCAATCTCGTGAACGAAGCTGTTCCAATCCCCCTCCTTCGTTACCCGGATTTGACTGTAGTGGACTGGGACCAGCTATAGAAGTACGCCAATGCTACGGACCAGCAAATCAAATAGGTATATGAATTTTGGAGAAGAGAGGGGGGGAGATAGACAAAGGACTGCAACACTTACAAGACTCACTAAGCAATACAAAGGAAAAAAAGGAGCTTCTTAATCGAGGCACGGGCATAACTGCAATACCGTAAAATTACGGTAATAACACGTGTGCCGTTATATTTGTCCAAAATACTTTTTTGATGGGGGGGGGGGGGGGGGGTGGGGGGGGGGGGACTTTTCTTGAAACGATTCTTTTAGGTTTGGGGTGATTATTTTGGGTTGGTTTATTTATCTATTTTTGGGGAGTGGGGGGGGGGGGGGGGGGGTCTTATTAGCGGAATTTTACGGAATATGTTGTTTTTACTATAGACGTACATGGAGGATACAACAACTGGGGACTGTGGTCTGAGTGCAGCAAGGATTGTGGGGGTGGAGGACAGTACCGCAAACGATGGTGTGTAAATCCACACCCGCAGGGGCAGGGGAAGGAATGTTCGAACAAAAGGAACTTGGACCACCCATGCAAAGTCGATCATGCAACGAACATGACTGTGATGGAGGTATGAGGACATTGAAATGAGATATTTATAGATAACTTATTATAATACTGGAGCCCCGATATAACGAATTGCCAAGGGACCGGGAAAATGTGTTCGTTATAACGGGGATTCGTTATACTCTGTTCCATATATTCGTCCTGTAATTTTGAATATTTAGCAGTTATTCTTCGAGGACCGAGAAGAATAACTGTTTTAGTAAATTTTTGAATTTTCAAACACTCAAATAACCGGAAAATGCAAAAAATTATTTCCACTACAAGAAAAATACATGCCTACAAATGTACAACAAATGCAACTGAACGAGCACTGAAGGAAGCCTGAAACAAACTTTGTTTACTAGAAGTCCCGAACGGCTGAAACCAATACAAATCTGCACAAATTTAAACTGAATGAAAACCTGTTTACACTACAATTTTAAGCTTAATCTGTTCAGTATCGTTACCTTGTATTTCGAAGAGGCTTGTCAATTCCAGCTGAGTAAGCTTTTAAAATCAGCACAATAAATATCGGGAACGACGAGAAAGCATAAAATATCGCAGTCGATCGATCGTCAAGCGTTGGTGATGGTACAATCGAGGAGGACCACTTCACAGTGAAATTATCAGACTTGCAAACATCACTCTTTTTCTCTCCATCCATGTAGATATTGACGCTTTCCTTTGCTTTTTACTTCAGTGAACGTGATTTTAAGGTGACGCAGGACCCTTGCTCTCATTATGTATGTATTTATTTAAAGAGTATGCACGAACAGTGACGAATGATGCCGACCGTTACTATAATCGATTCAAAAAAATTTGTTTTCGGCGTATTGATAATTAGAAAGTTATTGTTCTTAGTTTTGCGGCACGTGCAATTCAATGTCCCGAATTATCATAGTTAGATACACAACTTTTGTTGTCATACACTTTGTTGACTCGGTCAGTCTTCGGAACGGGGCAAAACCGGCAATTTTGTGTCCAAGCTTTCGTCGCGGATATATAATTTCAGGAATTGATACACGAGGAAGGTAAACTTAGTGTACTGTATTGTGATGTGACAGAAGCGGAATTGCAAAAAAGCCTTTCAAAAAGAAGATAGAACGTTTCAAATTCTAATTTTCAAAATTTTACTCCTTTGGAAGGCAATAACTTTCAACGAGTCTTGAAATTGCAAAATCTGCTTCTGTCACATCACAAAAGAGGTTATTATCTACCACTAGGTAATACAAACATTTTAATTTAGAACGCTTCTCAAGTTGAAAGCTTGGACACAAAAATTGCATGTCCGCAATTCTAACTTAGAAGCTTAACGTATCACCGTACAGCGCGATCTGCCAGAAAAACCACAATCATGATATAGTTCCATCATCCGCCAATATCCCTATTAAGTTTCAGCGGAATCGACTTTCAAAATTCGGAGATTTGAAGGTTTAGAAGACAACACCCACCCCAGAAATTAAGCTTATGAATTTATTCATGGCCAAGGGTCCTGCGCCACCTTAACTGGCTCAGTTTCGCTGCATGGTTTCAACACAATGAATCAGTCTGTAGTCGTGCACGATTTGCTCGCCGTAAACAACCCGTTCAGCCGTTCATTCAACTTGTAAAATGACTGTATAATGTTCAGCTCCACAATTATTTCTGATCTTCCCATTTTAAGCTAAACCATTTGCACAATTTTCCAGAATATACGAAACTTTAGAAGACACAGAGCGAAGTTTAAAATTCTGTTTTGCTCTCTTTTCATTCAACTTGCAAACGGACACCGCGCCAGCAGTTTTTGCCGCCGTTTTCATACCAATCATGCTTCATTTAGATTGAACTGAAAAATCATTCAGTCGATTTATAAATTTTTAAAAAGTAATACCGAAGTTTAACATAAAGCTAGTGACGTTTTTAATCAAACAATTATTCCATTCGCCCTTGTTGGATATACAAGTACAAAAAATTCATCATTTTTTCCATATTTGGTCAACTTAAGGATAATGGCTCAGATCCATAGAGGAGGGAACCAATCAGAAAGCTAGAAAATCATTATCCAGAGGTAAAAATTTACTAACATTCGTTATAAAGGGATTCGTTATATCGGGTAAACGCGGGTATTTGTACAATTCAACATGGCGGCTGTATGGAAATCATGTCGTATTTTCTACGTCATAGGACGTCATAAATCCATGTTGGATGGACACATTATATACGCCAAGTTTTATTGTCGTCGACCCCCAACCCCTCCACTCGGTCTGAAAAGACCAAAATGTCCGGTATGAATATGTTTAAGACAATTATAATTTTCAAAAAACATCACCGAACCATTTTCTTTCCAGAATGTCAATCGACAAATTATAAAAAGGTGGAGATGGATATATCAAGAAAATGATAATGTTTCTAAAAATCTTTGAGTAAATATATTTTTAACAGTAATTTCCACTCCAGTGCAAGGGATTATAGAGTATGAGTAGTTTGACTCGAACCGATTTGCTTTTTCAGAGGCGACCGAGCTACCGACGTCTGAAAAGAACCCGAGTCACCGACGTCTGAAAAAGAACCCGAGGCACCGACTAAAACAGAACCCGAGGTACCGACTGAAAAAGCGACCGAGCCACCGACTGAAAAAGCGACCGAGCCACCGACTGAAAAAGCGACCGAGCCACCGACTGAAACAGAACCCGAGTTACCGACTGAAAAAGCGACCGAGCCACCGACGACTGAAGTGGGGACCGAACCACCACCGACAGGTAATTGTTTTATAATATACTCTCCACAGGGGAAAGAACGAGGAAAGAGCTGAAATGTTTTTTGAAAATATGCCTTGAGTAGGGAGGGGAGGGGGCAATAAGACTGTCAACAATTTCAATATCTTGTGGTGAGTGTATTATAATAGAAAATGTTAGTGAAATTTAATTTAATTTTCTTTATAGGACCACCTTGCAAGAGAGCTCTTGATCTTGGAATAATTATTGACAAATCCAAGAGCATTAGCATTAACCATTTAAAAAAGCTAATACAGTCCCTGGAAGGCTTTGCCGGAAAATTTGAGGTTTCGGCCGAAGGAAACCCATGTTGGGATGATCTCATTTAATAGAGACGCTGACCTGTTGTTCGACTTTAAAGACGATCGTTACCATACGAATGTTCAGTTACAGCAAAAGATAGAAAAGATAACGACAAAACGACAGTTACAGACGAGGACAGACCTAGCACTAAAAATGGCCAACCAGACGTTGTTTACAGCGGACGGTGGTGATCGAAGTGATGCACCAAATGCATTAATTATCTTTACTGATGGAAAGTCAACCGCGAGACCTAGACAAAAAGGTTTCATTGCAATTGCTAAAAATAGTGAAAATTCTGGAGGTAGGTACCATGAGTCCATCCATTCATTAATCGATATCCATCCATACGTCCATCCGTCCATCCATCTATCCACCTCATAAGTCTCATTCAACGTAGCCTGACCATTATTACAACTTGTTTGTCTAGTCAGAGCGAGTCAAAATACAGTTATGAATGAAAGTTGTGTTTGATGAAAACTGACACTCTGAGAACATTTTGACGAAATACATATCGCACTACAGGTAGATGAAAGTTCGTTGGCTGAGTTGAGTTTTGGCAAATCCCAATACGTTGGTATGTTTGATATGAATTATCAATGATTGATGTAACTTCCCAAATTCCATTCTTTGGAGAATATGTACGATAACGATATTCCCCATCACACCAAAG